GGGCAAATACCCCCAAAGTTTCAGCCTTCTAGCTTTTCTGGTTCTCGAGTTGAAAGTGGATGACAATTTAGGCCCTCACGTGGTCCCTGCCTTCCCCTGCTGCAGCCAAGGACCACGTGAGGGCCTAACAGGGACCTCTCGCAGCCAAAGCGAGAAAAAAAGTGTGAACATACACAGTCTCTTCCCAATATGCATTTTTGCAATTTGCACATGCATAAAAACACATAAAAACATGTTTTTTATTAGGGCCTCGATATCAAATCGATTTGAACGTCCAGCTACTGATAAATGGAAACTTCGCTTTCTCCACATTGCGTACTCATCAGAATGGAGAATTCAAATTTTTTTTTGAAAACTTTGAGAGCTTTTTTGAACTTATTGAACAGGAAAAAGCAAAGAAATTAAGTATGATTTGCCCTAAGTCTCTTTTCTCTATGTTCTTACAGATATTTCAAGAAGTATCAAGTAAACCTCACCGAACGATAGTAATTTACCTGATTAGCGTAGCCCTGTAGTGCTTCAGCCATAAAACATTCGCCAAATACATCCTTGTATGTTCGCCTAATCTAAAGCAAAACCGTTTTTGTCATGCATGTGTGAAAATGAAGTAAGAAAAAATCTGCAGTATTTTGAGAAGTGTATCAAATGGATCACAGCACTTAACTGCTTTTGGCCTCATGCAGATTGTTTCTTCAGCACCCTAGCCATGTATAATTATATGTGCATCAGACGGTGAAAAAAAAAATTCTAATTTTATAGCAGGGAGATTTGTACGCGGAAGTAAATTACAAAAAAAGTCTTGAGTCCGGATGCGCATGTTTGCATCGGGAACTCTGGTGCCTTTTCACATATGGGTTCTTTATGAAATGCGGACCTATTGTGTGTAAGCAAAGTGGCGTCAGTAACTTTCCAATAGAAGCTAATTGCCATAAAGAGAGTCGCTGGCTCCATTTCGAAAAGCTTTTGAGAAACAAGCTCAAAATATTCCTGATTCTTGTTCAGGAAGCAAGCATTGTTATTCAGCAGGGAAGCAGGTAAAAATACAACGCCCCAAATCAGTGCTTTAACTATTATATATTGCGAGCAAGACCGTTGATCTTCTTCGTGAATAATCCGTGGATTGACGTGCTCGAATCGTGATTCGGAGTGTTAATTGGGCAGTTTGTGTATCGGTAATGTGAGACTGCCGGTGCGAATCGTCGGTGGATCGATGCGAAGAAGCGACAGTACCGTGCGGACATTGCGACTCCGGCCAGCCTATACGAAAACCTCAGAGCCACTGGAGCTCCTTAACCCGTTTTGGTCATACTGGTTATTTAGTTCGTCATCCCAGTAAATTCTGGACTAAATTTGTGTGACATGGGACGCAGCATTACGCATAAATTTATAGTGGTTAGTGAGGCTAAAAACCTCGTAAAAATTTTCTTTGATATAGGAACAAAATTGCCGGCTGGCGGGGTCATGGTTAGGTGCTGGTGCAATATGTCAAAACTGGTTCAGTTTGGACGAGGGCAAAGGTTTGCTTGTATACGTGGCGAAGCAGTAATTGCTTCACGGCTCGTTTTTTAAGAAGGAAAATTTATGAAAATAACTTTTGAATACCTCTTTCTTTTTATCCTCGTTGAAGACAAGAATTGATGTTACAGCAACGCCTGGAATTTTTGTGAGAAGTTATGCAAACAAAGCAAAATTGCAAATTGCTTCAAAGTCTCAAAATATTTGTAACTTATTACAAATTATTGAAAAATTTGTTTTTTTTTTCTCCAGATCCTCAAAACGCCTGCTAATTTCACCATATTTACACTTTAACTGATAAAATTAGCAGGTGTTCTTCGAAACTCGTTTGCTCTCATTCCATTGGAAAGTTCGTTAGCTCCATTAACAGCCTTGTGCTTTGTGGTCTCTCCTCAAACACTGTCCGTTGAAGTGCCAATTTTCTGTAGCGCTGATCTTAAACGCTGTGAGGCGCTTTTGTGTCTTTTGTGTTTCGCTTCCTATGTACTAAGTGAACATGTGCGCATGCTAGTGCACATATGTGTCTTGCTTGACGAATTAGTAAAATGCGAGATATGAAAAATGTGTGAAATATAAATACTTCTGCAGTACCGCAAAGAAAACTGAACTTTTAATGCAGAGGAAATCACATTTGTTATATTTTCCAGAGCAAATAAGATGCCACACTGCAAATAACTAATTTCATTTCTGATATATTAAATTCTGACATATTAATTGTAGCTCAAACATGTTGTTGATATTATATTGCTGTTGGTATTATGAGATTGATGCATGTTGATCTTGTTGCCAAAGGCGGGCGATTCCCTTCGGCAACAAGAATGCGCCGCGGTATCGATGCCCCTGCACTAAACGTCTGAAAGAGTATTCCAGCTGTCTGCATTGAATTAGTATTTAATCCAATATATTTACCACTGAAAGAACTACCTTTTTTTTACTTTCTAATCTGTTTCAACTCTTCCCAATTAATTTTGATGTTCTTTTGGCTCAATTATGCTTCAATTTTTTGGCTCCTTTTCACTTAATTTGGCTTGTGTTTGACTAAAGTCTCTAACACACGGCTAGATTTTACATCATTTTTTAGGGCATTTTTTTTGTAGTTAGTCCGTTGCCCTAATTAAATTCCATCAGTATTGCTTATCGTCGCAACCATCATTTGGATCAGTGACCGATGTTTTTCCCGTGCGATTACTCCATAGTCTTGTTTCGTTTCTTGTTTCCTAGAAATGCGCCAGAACGCATCATTCAAACAGTAATTCCATCCTAATACATTCTACAAAAAATGCTGACATGAATTCAAAAGATCATGAAAAAAGCTGAACGACAAACCAGTTTTGGGCAGGGCTTGTTTCGCGAGCTGCAAATTTCGCTTTTGTGTAAACGCTTCAATGGGACACACCAGTCCATGCACTTGTTTGTTGTAACAGGGGTCGATATAAATCACATCGTATTTTGACTGACCTTGAATTTAAATTGGGTCATGTATATATGGTTTGTGCATGCATGTTGTGATTCAGGTAATTACAAAAAAATTGAGTGAAAGTGACATGGCTGTTAAAATTTTTATAAGAATGAGAACAGTAGAGCGTTCAAAATCTCCGATTTCGATCTTTTTTCTCCACTGTTTTATCTCAGAAAAAGAACGCAGTGGCCAGCTGTTAAGCAAGATGGGGCAAGTTACAAACACAAAGACGACTGCAAAAAATGAGGTGCCCATGTCGTGAACGAATTTTTTTTCTCAGAAGCTGTGGACCGGAAGGAAATCGAACCTCTCAATTCCAATGTTTCTCGATCCATCTCATTATATTTTCGGTTCTCGCGCTCCACACGGAGCGACTAGAGCACTTATATTTGTAAATCGGAATGTCAAAAATCAAAGCCTCTTCCATATTAGCCCTCTGTGAGTGCGGAAACACGCGAAAAGTAGCTCGAGTTGTAGCAAGTACCAAGAGCAACCAAACGCTGACAACACTGCCAACGGTTTCCTCTTTCGAGCTCAATTTCATGACGTACATTCAGCAGTGGTCCGTTACTACAAGCAGCAGACACTACTAAAAGTATTTGGAGTAGCATCACAAACAGTGGACACAGCAGATTTCGGCGACTTTTTGCGGGCATCCAAAACAATTCAGTGGCCTTTTTTTAAACAGTAGGCAGGAAAACTGAAGTAGTAATGATGGGCTTGCCAGAAATGTACACTCTTATACACATACATGATCAAGCCTAGAGTTTCATAAAAACCAACTTGACAACTGCTGTAAATATTTCAAAGCATCAGCCAAAAGTACTCGTTGCCTCGAATCCTCGGTTAAGCCAAAATATTTCTTAGACAGTTCGTATATTTTCGGGTCAATTTCGACGACTGTTATATTGAACTGGAAACTTTAATGCAGCTTATCAGCCGTTAACATCCACAACGCCAATCAGCATGTGGAGAAGCAAATGTGTCATGTAAATTAAAGGAGATATTTGCGCAGTAAATAAAAATCAATCAAACGCAAAAAAAAAGAAACATTGCTGAAATTGTCGTGTAAGAAGCTGTTGAGAATTCCGGTGCCAAGGCCAATTGAAAGGATATTCAACATTTTGGGACCATTTTGCAACGGTAGCGTACCGCTAGCAAACGTGAGGGTAATCATTGCTTGAACGTATGAATTTACCAGCCTCGAATGATTTACTGGTAGCAGTAACGTATCCAATCCAGCAATCATATTTTGTTTTTCTAAAATACAGTTTGCAGCTAAATAAACGAGCACTAACGCATTCCCACCTGAAAAAATGTGTGCCAGAGTTTGATTAATGTGCGTACTAACCTCTAACTGACTGAGTACATCTGTTAAGCAGGAGCAACGAAACATTACTACTGCTCTGTTCTGGAAATGCAAGCGTGCGCTACCTGTAAGAAACGTCAGCACTCGCTCTTCATTCTAACCATGCACATATGTCCATATAGTTAAAAAAAAAATAAAAAACGCTTGTATCCCAGATCAGCGGGTAAAAGTAGGGAAGGGAAACCGGCATAAAATTTGTTCGGAAAACGCGAAAATCAACACGAAATTGCTTCTTAGCAAGGCAATTTAAGTTGTTTTCAGCTGCCAGTACATGAGGCACGCACGAAAACATGGTCATTCTCTTAAAATTTCAGCTTCCTAGCTTCTCTAGTTGCTAAAAAAAGATGGCCAATTGTTCTTTGCCTTTTTGCAAATCAAATGTCAATGTTATTTGAATTCGCATTTGATATGCAAAAAGGCAAAGAAATTAGATCGAAAAAGCTAAATTCTTTCGCGAAATTTTGTTAACAAAATGGGAAATGAGCCCAATTTAATCATGTCACGTTACTGCAATCAACGCACGCCAAACTGTTTTC